GTTAATAAATAAATCCCTGAAAAGCTACTGTAATATAAGCTGGTAAAAAGGTAAGGCATAGAATAAATATTTTTTTCCCAAAATATTCCTCATTTATCGACATTACTCAATTAAGAAAAAAAAAAGTCCTGGTTATGCTAGCAACAAAATACGTAAAATCCTAAGAAATGACCGTAATAAGCATAGTAACTAAAACTTTGGATGAGTTTAAGCAAGTTAAAATTTAGAGTTAGACATTATTTCTGGAATCCATCCTTTCACTGTACCTATTAAATCTGTATGCTGAGCAAATCATTCGAGAAACTGAACTATATATGAAGAACAGTGTGACCTCACGATTTGAGCAACTCAACAACCTGTGTTATGCAGATGACACAACCTTGCTTGCAGAAATTGACCATGACTTGAAGCACTTACTGGAGAAGACTGAAGACAACAGCCTACAGTTTGGATTATATCTCAACATGAAGAACACCAAAATCCTCGCCACTGGACCAGTAGGCAACATCAGGATGGAGAAAAGATTGAAGTTGTCAATGATTTCATTTTCCTTTATCCCAAATCAGCGCTCATGGTAACAGCAGTCACGAAATCAAAAGAAGTGCTGCATTGGGGAAATCTGCTTTCGCGTACTTCTCCAGATCACTTCGTGAGCAAGAGTGTCAATTTAAAGACTCAGGTGAACCTAATACAAGCCATCATTTTTGCACTTGCTTCCTGTGTATCTAAAAGTTAGACAGTGAGTAAGTGTGACAGGAGAAGAAGCGATACATTTGAATTGTGGTTTTGGGCAGGAGTACTAACTATCCATGGACTGCTAAAAGAACAAACAAGTCTGTCTTGGAGGAAGTCCAACCAGCGTGGTCTTTAGGGGCAAAGATGGTAAAATTTTGTCTCACCTACTTCGGGCATGTTGTAAGAAGGGACCAGAAGGTGAGAAAGGTGGAGGATCAGAGAAAGAGAAGACCCCAACAAGATGAGTTGACACTGAGAATGTAACAGATGGCTCAGACATGTTGTGTAGATCATGAGGATGGTTCAGGATTGGGCAAGGTTTACATCTGTTGTTCATGGGAGTGAGTTGGAGTCGACTCATTGGCACCTAAAACAACAGCAGGTAATTATGTAGTGTAACAAACTGATTATTAAAGTGCTGTGGGACTTTGAGTGCTATTAATTTCTTAAATGTGTGGGTTTGGTTTTTGTTTTTTTTTTAATTGGACAAGTAAGTGGTGCGGTAGTGTTTCAGAGCTTAGTTGTAAGGATTACATGAAGACACTCATGCTCAGTGTTTACCACCTTACATGAAAAAGCTTCAATTAATGGTCCTCTTTAAATATGTGAAGATGTCATTACTGCAGTTTTTGTGTAGTTTAAACAAAAATTCCAGTTATAGTGATAGCTACAAAAATGAATACCAGTAATCACCTGAAAGTGTAAAACATGAAGATAACTGTCAAGTTTAAAAAAATCGTGGGGAGAGCTTGCCCTGCTTTAAAACATCTTAAGTTTCTTATGTACTACAAATGTTAACAGACTTTCATTTTAGTTAATAGGTTTTATGACTTAAATATGTGCAGAATAGAACTACTCAGTAGGGTTTTCAAGATCTCCAGGGGGATTTGAACTGCCAGCTTTTAATAATAAGAAGAAGAAGTAATAAATAATGAACTTCAGGTAATTATTTTTAAAAAAGAAAAGGAACACATAAAAGTCAAAACAACATTGAAAAAGAAAAACCAATTGGGATACTCTGGATTAAAGAAATACAGAATAGTCAGTGCATCACTCAGTGTCCATAATAGAGTTTATGAAATACATTATTAAACCATTCACATGTTGTGTAAATTTCTTACTGTAGTCTGGTCCGACAAGCTTCATGCCTTAGCAATGGGCCTCAACATGCTCAAAAGGACTAGCTTTTGTGTTTGGTCTTCTGTCTACGTCACTTGCAATTTCTCCATATATCCTGTAGGTTCTTCTCACGTTGTAATTAACCTGGAAGCTTTTAGCAGAGTTAGTCCTTTCATAGCTTGAAGTGGTTGCTTCGTGGTAAAGAGTTGTGCTGCCATCCCAAAGACACATGGTTCAAATCCACTAGCTACTCCACAGGAGAAAGATGACAGTTTCCTATTGTGCATACTGCCTCTGAAGACCTGCTGGGTCTAGCGACGGGTCTTTCCTGCTGGATGGCAGACAACAACATAATTGTCAAGTGCAGAGTTGTCAAGAGCAGTAGCATTCACTGATTTCCTCCCTCCATGTTGTTTAATAACTTTGTTCTTTTTTTTCTCCTTGCTATGTACCTTTGAGTCAGATCTGACTGGAGCAGGAGGTGATTGCCCCTCCTTCTCTAACAGAGGATCTTGTGAATTTGAACTGTGCATCTTTGTGATTGGAGTACAGCTTCTTAATGTCCGAGCTCCCAGTAACTTTGTTCTTAAATAAGTACTTCCAAACTGTTACTTTTTCTTTGCCTCTTGCTGCTGCTGTCACTAACACGTCTTTTGCTGTGTTTGGGAGCTATGATGCACTGCAGAGTAATATTTTCAAAGAAAATGAAATAGATGAAGTACAGCACTCAAGAGACAAGATACACAGGATTAAGTGCTACCACCCATGAATTGAAGCATACACTGTTAACCAATAACTCAATAACTCTTTTAGCTAGAAAGTATAGTACATACCTGACAGTAACAGGTACTTTGTGTAGCAAAACAGGTAAGGCATGTAGTTCCTGGACCATTATGTGCTTGCCAGCACAACCATTTTGTATAAAAGGGACATCAGAGGCACATGGTAAGTGCACCAAGTTGTGTGTTGGCCACATCTCATTTTTTGATAAGCATTTTTAAAGTCTTAAAACCTTACAGGAACTCTGACCTATGTGTAAATCAGACTTTGCCAGAACATATAATCTGAGGAAAAGTATTTCTCACTTCTGTGACACTGTTAATCAGTATCAACTGCTAAAGGAGCTCCGGTCTCACCCATGTCATTAACTGCTGTTGCTGTCCACGGGTGTTGATTATGGAACCAAGTGAACGTAAATCCTTGACAGCTTCATTCTTTTATCATATGGTGCTTGTTGTTGCAGTTTTGGCTTAAAAATATAGTAATTAAATATAATCTAAGCCCGGTATTATGAAAGTACTGCTAATCGATGCATTTTTATTTCTTGGCTCTTTGACTAGCTCAGATGAAAATTGATGAGGGTGAATCATTTTCTTTATACCAAGACCATCATCAATTCTGTTCTTCTAATTTAAACAGTTTCTTCTAGAAAAGTGTTTGATCACTGGTGTGACATACAGATAATTTGGTATTACTGAAGTCTTTTTCATTATTTAAATATTTCTTTGGCCATTTTTTATATTTAAAGTAAACTTTATTTGATAAATTCATGTTGCATATTTCTGTTCTTTTGAGCAGAGAATCTGTTGCTCTTTGCTTTTTCCTCTGGGATCCTAGAACCATCTTGCTCAGGTGTTATTATGTAGAAGAAATAGTCTATTCTTGTTCCAAAGTTCTGCATCTCTAAACCTCAAGTAGAATGGCAATTTCTTTTTCAGGAAATTCCTTAGGATGCTTTAACTTCCTATAGTAAGTTTGGAAGTGAGTCATCCTGGCTGTTTGCATTGAGTTGTGACTCTTAAAGTCTCAAACATTAACAGGTGTGGATATTGTACACAAAGGAATGTATAAATGACACTGATCATATTCTTTGTGTTTAGATATATCCTTCAGAATTTGGCAAGGAGAGGATGAAGGAAGAGCAAGTTCAAGGACCAGTGGAGTTATTAAGTATTCCTGAAGATGCCCCTGAAAAGGACTGGTAATGAATTACTATAGATAATAAAAGTAAACCTCATAAATTCACATTCTATTTCAGAATTCTGGTCACTTTAGTAGTTAGAACTAAAGTTTACACTTGTGCCTTTTATAGTTAACTAAGTTGCTAAACAAAGTATTCAGTGTATCCATGTTTCTAGCCATATTTCATAAATATTTACTTACTTGCCTATTTGTGAAAGTAAGTATAATTTTTGAAAAACAGTTTATACTTTATAAATTGAGTTCCCATAGCTACATTTCTGAGTAAGTTATATTTGCGGTTTTTGAAGTGACATTTTTCTTTCCCTGTAAGGGCCCTCTAGTGGTGCACGGCACCCTCTGGAGCTGTGCTGCCAACCCCGAGGCCAGGTCTCCCCGGCAGTTCAGCTTCCGGCAGTTCTGCACAAGAAGCTGGGCAGCCTCCTCTTGCGCCGTCTACGCCCTCTGTAAATCAGCTAGACGATCAGTTGCGAGTCACTTCTCACACGGTCCCAATGAGTTGAGATTTATAATAATAAATCTCACTTCCATATAAGTGAGACTTAAACATTCTTCAACTTTGAAGCTTAAATAAAAAGAATGATTTAAACCTTTATCATTGTATACAATTAATAAAGGAAATCTGCTGGTAGAATCTGGATGGAGTTGTGCTGCTGACTCAAAGGCAGCAGCACCTCTCTGGCCGTTCATACTCTCCAGCAGCTCCCAGCGAGAAAGGTGGGCAGTTTCCTCCTATGTGATTTACAGCCTCAGTGGAGCATCACCTGGAAGTTAAGTGGGTACCACTTGAGCAAGGAGTTTGATACAAATAACTGTAAGGAATTTTTAACCACTAGGTGGAGCTCTACATACGTGTATTAAAAATGGTTTTTAAATTGATGGCAAACACAGACAGATATAAAGACCTTCAAAAAATGGTTTGTAGTTAAATGAAATTAGATTTGACAACATATGAATGTGGAGCATACATTTTGCAAGATCAGGAATGTCTTTGTAAGTGGAGCTAATGTTTTTGTAGCACATTTTCTAATACTGCCCAGTAATTTACTTGAGAAGGCTGTGTGTGGGAACAAAAACAACTTGTCTAAGAAATACCTTTTAAAGTAGCTCATAAAGTTCTTCTCTAGACTTTAAATGCTAATGAAAAGATCTAAAATCTACAACTTTTCAGAGCACTATATCAACAAAAAATAAAGAATTCACATGGGCAAATCAGGAAGGAACAAGGACTTTGAATGAAGGTGGGTGGATGGGTATGTGGATGTGAGAGGGAGAGATCTGTGTGTAAATGATTGCATTCTTTTTAAGGGAGATAAGGAGAGAAAGAACTTGGATCAGGTGGATTGATTCGGGGTAATGGGGGTAGGTGTGTCAGAGACAATGAGATTGGCATAGGATAGAACAGGATTTAAGGCTGTTGTACAAAGGGTCTCTGAGTCTCAGGCGACTCAGGTACATAACAAGGACAAAAGTTGTTTCTGTTTGTCTTACTCAAGTAAAGTTAATACATACCTCCTTCCCCTTTCTCTAGGACATCTAGAGAAAAATTAAGAGATTATCAGTTCAAACGACTGAAGTACTATTATGCTGTAGTAGACTGTGATTCTCCTGAAACCGCCAGTAAAATATATGACGATTGTGACGGCCTGGAATTTGAAAGCAGTTGCTCTTTCATTGACCTAAGGTAACCAAGTTCGTGTCTTAGCACAACAGGATTATTATTACACATAAAATATTTGAGCTGGTCATGTTTTCTTTTACTTCCTATTTGTAAAGAGTTTTGAGTGAATGAACTGAGCCTCATGGAGTAGCACTACTAACAGAAAACTGGGATGATAGTGTCTTCTCTTTTTTACTCCTACAGACAGACTTCCAAACATGTCAACCCTGTGCTTGATAGATTTTATGCAGTTAATATTTCTTTGCAGCTGTCTTTAAGAGCTAGGGACCAGGTAAAGAGACTTCTGGAAAAACATTGAGGTTGGAGTAAAGAAGTTTGGTAATAGAAATTTGGTGCCTTTTAGGTCTGTGCTGCCTAATATAGTAGCCACACTCAACAATTTTATTTTGCTAGAATTAAATGAAATTTTAAATCCAGTTCTTGGTTGCCATGGACATATTTTCAAGCCATTAGCAATACTTACTGATAGAACCTTGTCATGATCTCAGAGAGGTCTATAGCTCTGCTCTGCTCTACATGTGCTCCCATGAATGGTCCAGCTTTGCTTACACAGTCCTTATTTTCTCCAGGTGTTCAAGACATGTTCAAGACAGTTGTGCATGTAGGTTCTAAGGAAAGAAACTGAACCAGTGTAGGCCTTTTAAGCGTAGTAAAGATATTTTCACTGGAAACCACTTTTTAGGATTCCAGATTTGTTAGAATCTTTGCTTTCAAAATTCTATAAAACAGAAAAAGATATATTTCATAGTAACTGTTTCATGTGTCAAAAACATTCATGTTAATATAAAAGTAAAGCGATTATGGAATAGACGTTTGGGGGTAAGATTTTAACACACTTAAGTATCCAGCAGGAGAAAAATGCAATCTCATCAGACAAGTTATTTCTTGCTCCTTTTTGTTAAGGATTTCAGTAGGAAGTACTTGTGAATATTCAAGTAGTTTGTACCAAATGTTTGTGAGTACATGAAGCCCTTTGGGTATCATAAACTCCTGTTACCTTATTCTTTTCAAAATAGTTGTGATCTTTTTTATTTCCTGTTTGGGACATTGTGATGTACTGTGAGTGAGCATTAGTTGTGGTTGAAGGAAGTAGCAGTCAGTGACCTGGAAAACATTTATACTGGTTTTTATTTTGTCTTGCGTGTATCAGGAAAAATAGTTGGATTTTCTGCTGCAACCCAGTTTGTCTAAGGAAGCCTTTTTAAATCTTCCCAAAAATAGAAAAGCGTGCATAGAATTTAAGAAAATTGATATCCGGTTTTCTTTTTCTTCTAAGCATATGTAAAAGTCTAGCTGAAGGAAGGAATATATATCTAATGAACTCTAATTATCCATTTTCCTCCAAAGAAAATTTTTACAGAATATACAAAATATACTTTTTTGGGGAACTAAACTATTCACACAAAACCTGAACATAGCCATGAATTATTAAACTCTACAGTAGCCGTTCTATGAATATAAAACAATTGCAATGACTATTTACCAGCCCATTATTTGCATATGGCAATGGAGAATGGTAAAATGATAATGTTAGGTTAATTTAAGTCTTGAGTAATCAACCTTAAACTCATTCTCAATGACACCCAAATGTAACATCCTTTACATCCAAAATACTTGAGTATTAATAACTTATATTGCTCTTCAGAATTTCATTTAGCAAGCCAGTGACTGCTGTCAGAAGTCTGAATCTCAAGCATGAGGGTCCCATGTGTGTTTACGCTTGACTCCAATTAACTGTCTCCTATGCCAGGACTTCTTACAGAGTTCTCTCAAATTCAGTGAAATATCTGACTTAAATAGCTCATGAGTTTCAAAAATTTGGTGCCAACGTTATTTGTAACTTTGTTTACCTCTTTATTCTACATGTGTGTTCGGCAGAAGCTTTTATATGGTATGTGTGTATAAACTACAGCTAATTAGAAGAGCCTAAACTCTTGTTGTTTATCACTGCAGCATTTGTTTAAATATTTTTTTTCTTTGCATCTTAGGTTTATACCAGATGATACTACTTTTGATGATGAGCCCAAGGATGAGGCCTCAGAAGTGGATTTAACAGCATATAAACCAAAGTATTTCACATCTGCTGCAATGGGAACATCAACGGTACTTCTTAGTTTTAAAATATGTACTCTATTGCTTTAGAAAAAGACTATTATATGCAGCATTTTTAGAAATGCATAGCATTAAAAATGTTAGTGCAAAAGTATAATGAAAATTGAGGCTCAACTATATTCTTTATTATTATGTCTGTTTTCACCTCTTTTCAAATCTTCGTTACACCTTTAAGAGTTATTAGTAAATATTTCTTCTTTCAATTCTGTCTTCCTCACACACTCTTTTCCAACTGAGTGGCCCAAATAATACAATGGTTAGTAATCCTTCAGCAGCTAACCAAAAGGTCAGCAGTTCAAGCCAACCAGGTGCCCTGTGGGAGAAAGTTGTGTGGCATTCAGTTTCCATATGATTACAGCCTTGAAACCCTCAGAGCAGTTCTGCTGTCCTGTCAGATTGTTCTAAGTTGGAATTGATTGGATGCAGTGGATTTAGGGTTTTTGTACTTGTTGTCTCTGTCCAGCAAGGTCCTTTAAGAAGTGTATTGTTAGGGGAGCTCTGGTGGCCTAGTGTTAAGGAGCTGGAACTACAATCCCAGAGGCGCACGGTTCGAATCCACCAGATGCTCTGCCAGGGAAGGAGGGACAATCTCCTCCTGTACCAGTCAGATCTGATTTGACGGTACACTCACACAAAAATAATAAAATAAAAATTTGAAAAAGAAGTGTATTGTTGATATCCTAGAGAATGAGGGGAAGAGGTAACACCTTGCCTTTAATTATTTAGAACTGGTGAAAAAAATGGAATATAAACAATTAGTACATTTTTCTGCAGATACACAACATTGTAAAAACTAGTAACTTAGTCCAGAACTGCTAGATATCCTTTAGATATCTTTTGGTTGGTTGTTATTACGCATTTATCTATTAAGATAGTTTATTACTTAATTAACTGGTTTCTCTTTTCTCCCTATACAACTTTTACCTACAGCTGTACTATATGCTAGCCATACAGTCCTCCCTGTAACCTTCTCATATGACAGACCACTGTGCTCTTCTTAGGATGTCCAGATGGCACAGTGCCTCTACTCTGTTGCCCACATGCAGTGGTGGGCATTTTGAAATTGATTGCAGTGTTGTTATTGATACTGTTGTTGTATGCCATCAAGTCGGAGCTGATTCATAGCTAACCCTCCAGTGGATTTTCAGAAGCAGTAAATCACAAAGGGGAAGATTACCCATCCTTCCATGGAGCAGGTGGTGGAGTGCCTTTGGGATTGCAGCTCCACTTCTTACCACTAGGCCACCAGAGAAAACTAAAACATTCAAGCATGTAAAATGTAGAGTTCTGTTGATTTTAGAACTAAAAAATGACCAGGATGGGCCTCTGTGGCCAGCTAACTAGTCTAGAGTTCCTTGGAGTCTGACACCATGATTCACTACTGTACCACCAGATCCAGTAGCAGTCTGAGGACTGTTAGTTCATGCTTAATTACTAAAACAGTAAAGATTCTGATGAGCTGTTCTAATCAGAATAGAATTCTAAGACCATGGCAGCTCTTTCAGGAATCTCTTGCCTAATGTATCCCCTTTTGCTGTCCTGACTGGGGAGATTGTCCTGAGGGACAGAGAGACAAAAAAGGACCTGACTCCATGGCAGTGATGAAACAGTAGCAGAAGCTTGTGTGAGATTGGCAGCTAGGTTGTAGGCAGGAGTTAATCAACAGACTCATTACACCTTATGGGAATTAATGTGAAGTTTACTTCCTGCCAGTAGATGTTTTTCTCCTCAGTGACTCTTTTTTTTTTGGAAGTAAATACTGAGATTGTGTTGAAATCTGCACCAACAGTCTCCTCTTGTTTTATAGTTCTGCTGGAATACTTATAACTCCTGGTGAAAAAAAAAGTTTTAACTGATTTGTAATAATGGTCGTTTTTTCCACCAGTATATTTTCTTTTTTCTCTTATCCGTACTTAATCTGAACTCTAATGAATTTTTATTCTCAGTTATGTTGCATATGTCAGAGAGCTGGGGGAAAGATTGGTAAAAAAGTTTCTCTTCAGTAAATGGGTTGCATCTTGGGACAAGTGTCATTCAGATAATTATTTTAGCATGTTTTATTTTAAAACATCCACATAACAACTCATTATTTTAATGCATTTGGCTTGTTGATTTTTGTATTTTGATTTAGTTTATGTTTTATTTTCTTTTTCTTCTGCTAAAGGTAGAGATCACTTGGGATGAAACTGATCATGAAAGAATTACAACGTTTAACAGGAAGTTTAAAAAGGAAGAACTTTTGGACATGGATTTTCAGGCCTACTTAGCTTCGTCTAGTGAGGAGGAAGAAGAATTAGAGGAGGAACCGCAAGGTACTGGACGACTTTATTTTTTTTTTTTAGATAGATACCTAAACAAGACTTGTTAAGTGAAACGTGGTTTTGACATTAGCATAAAGGGAATAACCAAACTAAATCATTCTTAAACAGTCTGGAGAGCTCTCACACTTTCACAGCATTTATGAACCTGTCAATGGTGATTGACTTTTATTTTCAAAAATACTTTCTTGGCCTGAATTTCTTAGCCAAAACCTTTTTTTTTTTAACTCACCTAGCCAAGAAAATTGTAGCCTTTTATACCATACTGGTTTCTAAACAAACTGCTAAAACACTAATCCTTTATTCCTTTTTTTTTTTTACGTTGTACAAAAAAACTCATGAGAGCTTCTTTTAATTAACAAATATTTTTATATTTAGTTTTCCTTTTCTAGTTTGGAAAAGACAACTGATTTTTCCATTTCCCTGATTTTGACTTGCATCATTAATTTATTTCAGAACTAATGGTAACTTAATATTTTTATTTTCTTGGGCAGTACAACATTTTTACAATAATTCCATGCTCTTGCCTAATTTTAAGCACTTTTAATTTCACAAGTTAATGCTATTTCTGTTTAGTCCATTTTTGCAAATTTAAATGTAAGAACTTTATACATGCTATATGGGACATTTTTCTTTTACCTAAGTACATCCTCAAGGATTTCCTATGATGAATGTAAACAGGTGTCAAACTCTTTTGAGTGTCAATTTGTCTGAAAGGATCCTTTTCTTGGCCTTCATTTGTCAAAGATGTTTCCTCTGATTAAGAATTGGTAGAACTTTAGGTTGGCAATCTTCCCCACTTCCCACTCACCCACCAAGCATGTTGATGTCCAACATGGCTTCTGACTTTATGTGGGGTTACTGTGACTTGGAATCACTTGTCACGGAATCCTTTTAAGAGTCATTTTGACACTCACAAAATGGGATTAGAGGGGAATTTCTTCAATATAGTAAAAAGTATATACGCAAATTCTCAGTGGAGAGAGATTAAAGGCATTCCCTTCAAGAACAGAAACTAAGCAAGGATGCCCACTATCACCTTTCCTATTCAATATTGCATTAGAAGTCTTAGCGATAGCAGTAAGACAAGACAAGGAAATAAGAGATACCCAGATTGACGAAGAGGAGGTGAACTTATCTCTGTATGCAAATAATATGATAGTATACTTAGAAAACCCTATTGACTGAGCTAGTAAACTACTAAACATAGTTAATCAATTCAGCAAAGTGGCAGGATACCAGATCAACTCATGCAATATTCGAAATGAGTGACCCTGGAGGACATTATGTTGAGTGAAATAGCTCAGCCACAAAAGGACAAATACTGGATAGTGCCATCATTGTAGAACGGGGCTGACATCTGGGTTGGGGTGAGCTGAGAAAAATTGGATAAATTATGTATACTGCATTGAAACGGATGAGGGAGAGAACAGTTTTGTTTTTTTCTTTTAATTTTTTAATTTTTATTTTAATGTATGTTTGCAGAGACTTTGGATTTCTATTCATTAATTGTTGCACACTTTCCTCCCTGTCCACCCCTCCCCCCAGTTTGCTTTTCTCTTTGAAAAGTAAAACAAAACACATTTTTATACCACACACACACACACACACACGATCCACTCCATTATGCAGCTTTCATTCTGGACTCTTGTCATAACAATAATACGTAATCATATATTCCTCCTAAACAGTTGGGAGAGAACAGTTTAAAAGTGATATATGATTGGGTATTATGGTTATGACAAGAGTCCACAATGAAGGTTGCATAGTAGAGTGTACTGGGGTGGGGGGTAGGGGGGCAGAGAGAAAAATCCAATAATGAATGAATGGAAATACAAAATCTATGTAAATGTTCATTAAAATTAATTTTAAAAAAGAGTCATTCTGTTTATTTTTTTGAAAAACTGATCAAGTTTTCTTTTTCTAATAATAGAGTTCATTTTATTGTGCTGGGCTTTTTAAGAGTTTGAATTTATGAAGTAGAATTTTTCCGTTGAGTGTCTATATCATTTAAAATTATAACCACGTTATGAAGAATAAGGATTCCATTCCAAAACATTTCTTTGCTCATGTGGATCCTGTGCATAGATCTGAAGCAAACATTGAAACAGTACCAGTGAATATGGCATGGTTTTAAATCAGAAACCCAGGGAATATGGCATGGTTTTAAATCAGGAACCCAGGGAATATGGCATGGTTTTAAATCAGAAAAGGTGTGTGTCAGGGTTATATCCTTTCAGCATTCTTACCACAAAACCTTTAAGCTGAGCAAATCCAAGAAGCTGGACTATATGAAGAATTTGAGGAAGACTTATTAAGAGTCTGCAGTATAGAGCAAATACAACCTTGTTTGCTGAAAACAAAGAATATTTGAGCCATTTATTGATGAAGATCAAAGTACAAAATCTTCGATATGAATTATATGTAAAAATGAAAAAAAACAACAACAACAAAAATCCAACCCCAAAACATGTAAAAATCCTTGCAGCTGAATCAATAAGCAGTGGTAAACAGAAAAGAGATTGCCATTTCAAGGGATATCATTTTCCTTGGCTCCATAATGAACAACCTTGGAAGCAGCAGTCATGATATCAAAGAAAGTATTGTAGTGAATGAATCTGTTGCAACAAACTTCTTCAAGATGTCACTTTTGAGTACTGAGGTGTACCTGCCCTAAGCCATGGTACTTTCAGTTGCCTCATATGCTTGTAAAAGTTGAACAAGGATTAAGGAAGACCAAAGCAGAATTGATGCTTCTGAATTATGGTGTTGGCAATGTGGATTGTGGAATAATGGCACTAGTGACTGCCCACAGAACAAATGAGAGTGGTAAGAGTTTGACTCACATTCTTTGGACATATTATCAGGCGAGGACGTTTGGAGCTAACTTTTTGGCACCTAACTACATAACATCTTCATCAGTTTTGAAATATTCTCAAGCATTATCTATTCAGATTATTACTTCTCTGGGATACCAGTTAACTATGTTAGACCTTTTCGTGGCATTTACTGTGAAGGATGGACACAGTGGCTTCCCCAGTGTTCAAGTGCAGGACTGGGCCATGTTACATTCTATTGTGTATAGAATTGCTAAGTGTTGGAGCCAATTGGATGCCACCTAATAACCACTCTTCACTTTTTTTATCCTCTGCTGCATTCTCTACTTTCTCTACTGATCATTCAGGCTTGCTAATTTAGTTTTCAGCTGTACAGAATCTGCTGATTGATGTTCATTCCAGCATTATTCACAGTAACAAAAAGCTTAAAACAACCTAAGTGTCTGTCAATGGATGAGCAGATAGTCAAACTTATACTATACAGTGGCAAAGAATGATGCTGAACATCTGCCAACATGATCTCTAATACGGAGGACATGCTGCGTGAAAAGAGACCATCACAGAGGGCCAAATACTGTATGAGACAATTATTGTAAAGTCAGGAACAGATTTGTATTCCAAATGAATCATCATTTAATATTATTGTTTAATCATCATTTTTCACGAATGGGAGGAGAGGAAAAGAAAAATCATTAATGAGGTGATTATCAATATTAATTATAGTGAATCAGTATTAATATTAGTGAAGGAAAAGACAGTAGATAATATGAAGTCACTACAATGTAACCAAGATAAAAGAAAATACTGAAAGACATACAGGAAACAATACAGTGCTGCAGTAATAGTAATAACAATAATTTGTATGTAGATTAACAGGTAAAAAATATGTGTACTAAATAGATGAGGAAGCTGTATAATTATATCTGAAACCAAAGAACTTAAGAGAGGGCTAGACCATCACTACCAGCCACTCTGAGGTGACCACAATAGAAGTGAAAAATTTAAGATAAAATTCAAATGAATAAATGATCAGAATTACTAATCTGAAGGAGATTAAGATCGCAGGAACACTCAAGACTCTTGGCCTAAAACAGCCTTTTAACTTGAAGACCTGCCTGAAGGCTAACTTTAACCCCTCAAATAAATAAATAAACCTGGAAAGAAAGTGTTTTGTAGAATAGTGAAGTATATGAGACCAAAATGAAAGCATTTACCCAAAACCACAGATAGAAAGGGACAGGGGAGTCAGAAGCGTGGCAACAGAACATCGAAATAAAAATGAGTGAGCACTGATACATTGCAAGGATTGTAACCAAGATCAGAGGACATTTTGCGTGTGAGTGGTTCATTTGAAAAATAATTTGCTGTGTAAAATTTTACCTAAAGCACAATAAAGATATTCATGAAGATAAAAAAAATTTATCTTAATAGAAAATATCAGTCATGCAAAATTATGAAAGGTTTAATGTTGACATCTAGTAAAAAGTCACTTTAAAAGTATATTTTAAATTGGCAGAATTGAATATCCTTTATAGCTTATGATTATTTTTTTTTTTGTTCTTTGGCTTTAATTTTACATATATGTTGTTTTTTATATAGTCCATGTGGAAAATCAATTACAAAATGTTTCTTTAACATACCCTTAGCAAACCTTGGCTTTCTTAGACTGTATTAGGTTAGATTTTTGTTTCTTTTAAGCTACTAAAGACAGTGCTTCACTTGCCTGAGTTTTTCATAGAGCTGTACTCTTGAACTGTGTTCCACATGTGAGATGAAAAACTGCTTAATTGTTCTAGTTTCTTTGTTCAGCCATCTTGTATTTCCAAAACCACATAATTGCATTATTTAAGAGTCTTTGAAAAAGTGTGATTTACAGTGGTAGTTAAGTTCAGCACAGAAACTTTCACATTTCCATTAGGCCTCAGTGACTGTTGCTTGTTACATTTTTAGAATTCTACATAATTGAGTGTTCATTTTGTTTCTCAGTATACAAAAAGCAGCCAAATTCTCTCCCAGATAGCCTTTTATTTACTTTTTCCTCTGTAAATGTAGAGAAGGTATTATAATTTTTATATACATTTCTTTTTAATCATATATCGTCCCCCTTATAAAAGTTTTCTAGTACTTTTATAAAAATTCTATCTAGTTTTCAAAGGCTAAAAGGATAATAGTCTATGTACACCTGCAAACTTTGGATCTAAAGTTTTCTAACAGGTTTCTTAGGTTGGTTAAGAAAATCGGAACTTGATTTAAAAGATAGCAGTATTAACAGGAAGACAGATAATGTGAACAAATTAGACATGTTTGTAATATGTTTTTTAACTGGTTAAAACTTATCAAGATTAATGACTTCTTTAAGACGTATGTTTGTATTTAATGCTGATTTGTGACAGCCTTATGTATAACAGCAGCAAATGTCACCCAGTTTGAAGCCATTGTTTTTTGGCTGTTAAGATCTACATTCCCACCATGCTCTACTGTTCTGGCAATTGCGTTTTCCTGATGAAGTAGCCAGAGTCTCATCATCTTTGTTTCTAAGGAGCATTTCCTATCTTCTAAGACTAACTTTTGTGAAATACACTAGCATTTTTAATTACAAGCTTACACTAATCTCTATGTTACTACCTTAGATGGGTGTGTTAGTACATTTGATTGTCTTAGAGTTAGTGGATGTTATTGGTGGTGTTTGTGAACATATCAGAGCTGCTTTTTTGTATTATCATGATTTTTTTTTTTTTTCACTTAAGTGGTGCTAAAGCAAACTTTCTCAAAATATTTTTCTTGAATGAGGAAGAAACCAGGCCTACTTGAGTCATTCCTTGTTTTAGAACTTTAGAAAGTAACATTTTAGTACTGGAAAAAATCAATTTAAAATAGGCCATCAGAGATTTACCACTAAAATTTTAACCTGGAAGGAGCTTTCTTCTAATTATGTTTTTAGAAGTAAGCTTTTAATAGAAAGAAATACATTGCCATTTTTTTAATTTATTCCTGATGTTTTATCCATTGAATTGTGGGATACATGACAAAATTCCATCCAGAATTATTATTGTGGCACAAAACACAAACAGAAAAAAATGAATTTCAGCTGTTGGAGTGAAAATATAAAAGAGTTGATAGGATGGAAAAATGTCCTAGACCAATTTTTATTCAAAAAAATTATGAAAATTTGTTTCATCAATTGTTTTTTCCATATTTTAAGATAAAAAGACAATCTGTTATTATTGATATTTGGTAAGTATTTAAAAGTAGAAGGCACTTTTAAGTTAGCCATTACTCATAGAAGAGAGGGTCTTCATTATGATACTTCTTACTGGATTTTTTGTTTGTTTTTTTTTCTTGGGTATTTTTGGTGGTGTTTTTGGTGTTTTGTTTTATTTTTTTTTACTGTGTACATTTACTCAATTCAGTTAAGTCTCTGTTTTGGATTAAACCTCAGGTTCTTCTATTTTTTTACTTACAGTGAAATTACATGGAAATATAAAGCCAACAAACTTTCCTTTGAATAAGCATACTTGCCTACCATCAAATGGAAAAGATGCAGGAATCTTAGATTTAGATTCTAAGCAAGTTCGTTTGAACATCTAAATTCATGTGCCAAAGTCATCCTCTGGTATTCAGTCTTCTTAAATATAACATTTTGAAACTACTTCAGTGGATGATGTAGAGTACAGAGGAATAAGATGTCATCCCAGTACTCCTGCATCTTGGTGGGGAAAATAGCTACCAGGGTGTTACATGAGTCCAAAATATTTTCAAATAACAAAATTAATTAAAAGCAGAGGTAACACTGATGTGTCAAATGCGATAATGTTTACCTATGGTGGACAGTTTTGGTGGAGCTCCCAGATTAAAACAGCTTGGAAGCAGGAGTGGCATCCACTTCCAAAATAGCTTGCCTCTAGAAACTCTATGAACTTAGACAAATGATGATAGTTCTACAACAGGATTCAGGTCTTTCATTCATAGGATCGCTCTTAGTCATCTACAACTCAGCGACACTTTACAACAACAGAGTGATCATGAAATTGAAATACTAGTGAGAAGTAAGTAAATTATGTGTGTGTTTTTGTTTTGTGGTGGTTTATTTTAGGTAATGATAGAGTCAATGTAGAAGAAGATGGGAAAACAAAGAAAAATCAGAAAGATGATGAAGAACAAATCGCCAAATACAGGCAGCTCTTGCAACTTGTTCAAGAAAAAGAAAAGAAAGGCAAAGAAAATGAGATGGAAATGGAAATTAAGTGGGTCCCAGGTAAGAAATGCACACTAAATTGCTACTGTCATTATTCATTTCAGGATATTAGATGTATTTTATGAAGGAAAAGATTAGCTCTTCTTTAGAAGTTGAATTTTTAAAACTTTTACCCCCAGAAATGCCCTTTTCAGTAAGATGATGTTAGCATAAACCATTTCAAACTCTCTTAACCCAAACCCAAGCCTAGCCAGCTTCCCTTTGGTGGATTTCGGCTCATGGCAGCCCTTTTATGAGGTTTCCAAGGCTGTAAATCAGTATGCCTTTATCATTTTCCAAAGGAGTGGGTGTTGTATTCCACCCGCCACCATTACAGTTTGCCATCTGACACTATGCCACCAGGGCGTCTAACACACTCTTGGGGAGGCAATTAGTATTTTAAACTCGTTCTAGCTTGATTGATTGCTTTGATTTACTAAGTCCACTTATGAAAAGTAGATCTCTCCTAAATCTGATTCTGGTATTCTCAGAAGCTTGATTGCAGGCTCTGTGTACTGTGAAGTCTTTAATCTTCTTTTCAGAATACATTGTTTCTAGGTAGCCTGTTCTACTTTAGCCCCAACGAGTTTCTTAATTAGGGGAGTTTCGTGTACATAAAATCTGTAATATATATTCTTTCTCAGTTTTACTGAATACTCAAAAAAACAGATAGCATAGTAAATTATTTTTATAATTGCCTTGCAGAGTATAGCATCATTTTCTTAGACACACCAGAGCTAAAACCGGGGGAAACTGTACTAAGATCACAACTTTCTAATAGTTCCAGGATAATCAGTATATTTTACATTTTACAAATTTTGCAGATTACTGCTGTTACACATGTGTTGTTTAAGCCAGATAGGATTTTTGCAGCCAAAGATTCTATTTAGTCATGTTCAAGCTCTAGAAGAAAGCAAACTAACCATTCATAGGAAGCTTGCTTTAGAAGGAGCTCTGGTGTCTTGGTGGTAAGAAGTTGTGCTGCCAATCCAAAAGCTAATTTGAATTCACCAGCTGCTCCATGAGAGAAATATGAGCAGTCTTCTGCCATGTTTACTGGTCTAATGACAAAACCAGCTAGAGAGTCAGCTGGGGGTCAATTCCAACTCAACAGTATATAACGACAAAAAAGTTTTTTAAAATTTAAATTTTTCTATGTTCACTTTTTGTCACAACTGCTAGAATTTTTTTTTCCAGTAGAAATAATACAATTCTTTGTACAGATTTTACTTGAGGAGAAAACTTGCATATTTTGATTTATACTTGATCAGCTTCTAGAATGGACTTGGTCTTGTTTATTTCTATGAAAATGTGGCAGTGTGTTTTTTGAGGCTATGAATTGCACAGTGGATTCAGTCTACAGATTGCAGTGGATTGCCCCTCTTTCTCCCATAGAGAGGCTAGTGGATTTGAACTGCCAGAGAGGAGGTTTGGCAAGACTTAAGGGAAGCTGCACAGCTCACTTTGGGAAATAGTGGATAAGAAAACAATGAAAGTTTAGCAGTATATAATATAACCAGGAAACTCCGATTTAGCCTAGTGAGGAACTTGTTTTCAGGTACCTATATGGTTGATATATAAAAAAACTTGCCATGATGTCACTCTGGAGACTAAGGTGCGCCTAATACAGGCCATGGTCTTTGCAGTCACTTGCTGTGCATCAGAGAGCTGGACAGTGACTTTGATGCCTTTGAGTGGTGTTGGAGAAGAGTATTGAATATGCCGTGGACTGCTAAGAAAACGAACAGGTTCATCCTAGAGAGAATTAAACCAGGCTGCTCCGTGGAGGCAAGGATTCTGAAGCTTTGCCTGACATACTTTGGACATGTTGCAGGAAGGGACCAATCCTTGGAGAAGGATGACATGCTTGGGAAGGTGGAGGGAAAGCACAGGAGAAGGATACCCTCTGTGAGGTGACTTGATTCAGTGACTGGGGTAATTGGGATAGGTATGTCAGAGACAATAAGATTGGCACAGGATAGAGCAGGGTTTAGGGCTGTTGTACATAGGGTTGCTATGAGTCTCAGGTGACTCAACAGCACTTAACGTAATAACAACAACAGTACTGTTTATTACCTCAGATATTAGTACTGATTATAGATTAAAGTTGAAGGAAAGTACATTCCAATGTTATATAAGGAAAATTCTGTTTTGTTAGAATTTCCAAAAGAATACAGGTAGAAAGACACTTAAGCACCTTAGTAAGTTTCCACAGTAAGATTCTGTAGCCATACCATTTAGGAATGTGACAAAATGAGTCAGTTGGACATTCACTTTGGTAGGCAGCCGTTTCAAATATTTTAATGTTCAGACGTTTCAAAACCTGTTCACTATTTTCTTTTGGCTATATCTCTACTTCCATTTATTGCCAGTGTATCCATTATTTGAAATATAGTGTGTGGGGGTGGGGGGTGATTTTGGTCAGAAGGTTTTCAATAACCAGATGTCTAAAATTTTGAATTGAATGCATAGCAGCACATTAAATGGAAAACCTGAACTTAAAATAAGGTTAAAGAATTTTAAGTTTACCTTATATAAAATGGTACTTTCAGAAATAATTTTTGTGTGGATAGCAGGCAAAAGTAGGACATAGACAATAATACTAATTCTTTAGGATAAATATAAATAATTCAAAAGTCAATTTGAGAAAACTGTATAAATATATATATATGTGTGTGGTGGTTGTTGTTAAGTGCTGTCGAGTCGCAGGCGACTCATAGCGACCCTATGAAGGAGAGTCCTCAATGCTTGGATGTCTCTCATCCTCTCTCCAGGTTCATAGGGTTTCCGGAGGCAAGCTATTACGGAAGAAGATTTTATATATATACAGAAAATAAGATAAATTGTTATCTGAATAGTCCCACTGTTTTTCTGCATACACCTTCATAAAAACACTTTTTTTTTCCTTAAAGCTGTCTAGAAACCTTTACTGTTTTACAGTCTTTCAGAAAAGAATCCTGTTTATATTGCTTTGTATACCTGAGTAACCATTCCTTTTAACTTTCTTGCTGACTTCTAAAAATTTAGTCCTACTGTGGCTATTTTACTTGAAAATTTGCATTCCTTAGACAATATTAAGTGATGTTGAAAGTTAGAAAGCTAGTTTATTTGGACATGATATTATAATGGTTTTTAATTTTTATTATTCAATGATTGTTTTTTAAACAGATTCTAATATGACTAGTCAATAGCAAAAAAAAAAAAAAAACCAAAAAAAAAACCCAACTATAATTTACTGAATTTTATACTTAATTCATGCCAGAAAATAACTCTTCCACTGAATTAGCCCCGCCTAACAGAGACGTTTACTCATTTATCAATGTGGAATCCCTGGGAAGTGCCATTGGTTAACAAGAAATAATACCCAATCATATATCCCTTTTAAACAGTTTGCTCTCTCATCTGTTTCAATACAGTATACATTATTTATCCCCTCTTTCTTAGTCTTCCCTCACTGCTGATGTCAGTCCCGTTTTACAACAGTAGCCCTATGCAACATTTGTCCTTTTGTGACTGAGATATTTCACTCAACATAATGTCCTCGAGGGTCACTCATTTTGTATAATATTGCATGAGTTCCTTGTTTTTCAGTGCAGCGTAGGATTCCATTGTTTGAATATGCCACAACCAACTCTTTGCTATTGTGAACAAAGCCACAATAAACATGGGTGTATATATATTTGCTTGGGTGGCAGTTATGGTTTCTTTAGGGTATATAGTAGTGGAATTGCTGCGTCAAATAGTATTTCTATTTGCAACTTTTTGAGAAAGTGCCATGCATCCTTGCATAGTGGATGTACCAGTCTGTTAGAAAAATTGTTAAATATTGGCATGCTGGAGAGTTGTGTTTTTTAATTTCCCTTTATTTTTATAACAAGGAAGTTTTTTAATTTGACCAAGGTATCTGTTTCGACTGTACCTCAGAAAATCCTCATTATTAGCTTTTATAATCTGAAACTCTTCTAGGGAAGGAAAATAGGCACCCCTGAGTTTCAGGCTGCCAGTTTTGCAGGTGGATTTTTGCAGTGCAGTCTATGCAGCTTGTTGTAGGATAGAGTAACAGCTTACTAACCAAACTCAGCCACCAGGAGTTAACCAAAACTGTGACTCTCCATGAGATTTCTGGGACTATAAGATTTTTTTTTATTATGATTTCAGTGAAAGTTTACAGAGAAGTTAGATTTTCATTCCTTCATTGTTGCACATTTTTATCCCCTCTCTTGCCCTTCCCCTTTCTCCAGGTCACTTTTTTGTGGGTTTTTTTTTTAAATATTCATTCACTGTAGCACAATTACCTCCCTCCTCACAACTGTCCTCTTTGCAATGTAGTCTCAGTGGAAGTAGGTTACTCATCTGTCTCTGTAGAGCTGCTGGTGGATTTGAACCACTGGAGACCCATAAACTTTTGGTCACCAGTGTGGTGCGCTATGGACTACACCACCAGAGCTTTTTAACAATTTATCAAGATTGTAGGAATATTGTAGAAAATTTAAAGGCAGAATTTCTATGTTGGTGGTGGTGGCTGTTGTTGTTATGTGACATCTAGTCGCCTGCAACTCATAGTGACCCTGTGTACAACAGCCCTACACCCTGCTCTATCCTGTGCCCATCTTATTGTCTCTGAAACACTTACCCTCTTTACCCCAGTCACTGAATCCAGCTCACCGAGGATCTTCTCTTGCACTGTCCCTCCACCCTAGTAATTGCACCTCCAAGTAATTGCAAAGACTATATCCTGGATCAGGTACAACTTGGTCACCAAACTTTGGAGAGATCTCTGACAGCAGACTTTCTAATTTGTGATGACTTGTCTGTTTTGTGAATTTTTAATCTCATTGTACTTAAATCTTTCTTTACCTGAATTCTCAGAACCTTGAGTTAAAGTGCTGTTTTTAGAACATATTTACTAGTTGCCTGTATCCCCTAATATTTCTAGACCACTTGTAATGAAGATTTGTATTGGGATATTTTTGGCAGTATAAATAATATGAATTCCAGCCACTGTGGCTATAAATTCTTTG